GTAGCATGTAATAGCCAAAGATAATATACAAACAACCTTGGCTATTTTCTGATGAAAATTTATTTCGCCCTGAAGTCACCATGCTGTGGAGGTTATGAGGAAAGAATACACAGAAATAGAAAGATGTCCAAGAAGTCCCAGCATCTAAGTCATCTTCTCTTGCAGGTGTGTGAGAAGGAAGCCTTCAAGATGAGTCCAGCTTAGCCACCACCTGGATGCAGCTACACTGTGATACCCGTCCCCCACTCCCAGTGAGAACAGCTTAGCTGGTACAGTCAACCCCCAGAAATGTGGCAGATGACCATGATAATGATGATATAATGGCTTTGGGATGGGCACATAATTTAGACCTCACCTGTCAGTACACTTTAACTCTCTGCCAATACTACTTGTACAGGAAGGGACATGTGCCTCAGTTTGATCCAATGAGATGCAGTTCCTTGATCGTGAGGAACAGTGGAGGAACCCTTTTTACCATATTTCTAACTGGACAGCCTGAACTGCTCATGGACATTTTGTTACCACATGGGAAGAGGCTGTAATATATATATTCATAAATCATAAGTGTATAGTTTGATGATTTTTACAAACTGAGCACAACCATGTAGCCACAACTCAGGTTAAGTTACCAAAGTTTACCACTCTTCCAACCCTCTATCTCTTGCCTCTTTTCGGCTTTTCTCCAAAGATAAACACTAGCTCTCACAGCATATATTAGTTGTTTTACTTTTTGTGCTTGTACCAATGAAATCATACAGTACACACTCTTGCATCTGGCTTATTTTTTTCTTTTATTTTTAGTTGACACATAATAATCGTACATATTTACAGGATAGAGTAATATTTTAATACATGTGTACAATGTGTAATGACCAAATCAGAGTAATTAGCATATCTATCACCTCAAATGTTTATCATTTCTTGGTGTTGTGAACATTCAAAATCCTCTCTTCTAGCTTTGTGAAAATATATGATAAATTAAGTTAAGTGTATTTGCCCTACAGTGCCATAGAACAAAAGAACTTATTCTTCTATCTAGCTGTAATTTTGTATCTTGAACCAACCTCTCTCTATCCTTCCCTGCCTCCTACTCAACCCCGTCTCTAGAACCACATTTTTACTCTCTGCTTTTAAAATTTCAATCCTTTAACTCCCACATAGGTGTGAGAACATGTAGTATTTCTTTTTCTATGATGACTTATTTCACTTAACATAATATCTTCCAGGTTTTTTCATGTTGCCACAGATGATAGGATTTTATTCTTTTTAATGGCTTAATAGATTCTATTGTGTATATACACCACGTTTTCTTTATCTAGTCATCTGGTGATGAACATTTAGGTTGATCCCATAGCTTGGCTATTGTGAATAGTGCTGCAATAAACATGGGGGTACAGATATATGTTTGTGTAAGAGTTGCCTTTTCTCTGAATCCTCCTCTCCTTTGTTATTTTTTGTCTTTCTGATAATAACTATTCTGATGGGAGTGAGATGATAGCCCATTGTGGTTTTGATTTACATTTTCCTGATCATTGGTGATACTGAGCATTTTTTTGGTGTATTTTTTGGCCATTTTTATATCTTCTTTTAGGAAGTCTCTTTTCCAATCCTTTGCCCATTTTTAAATCATTTTCTTTTTCTTGCTGTTGAGTTGAGTTCCTCGTATATTCTGGATATTAGTTCCTTGTCAGATGAATAGTTTACAAATTTTTTTTTCTCATTCAACACATTGTCTCTCCATCATGTTGACTGCTTCCTTTGCTATACAGAGATTTTTAGTTTGCCATAATCCCATTTGTCTTTTTGTTTTTGTTTTTGTTGCCTGTGCTTTTGAAGTCTTCGCCATAAAATTTTTGCCTAGACTCATATCCTGAAGTATTTTCCCTATGTTTTCTTCTAGTTATTTTATAGTTTCCGGTCTTACATTTAGGTCTTTAAATCATTTTGAGTTTAGTTTTGCATATGGCGACAGACAGGGGTTGTTTCATTCTTCTACGTATGGATATCCAGTTTTTCTACCATCTCTTTTTGAAGAGGTTGTCCTTTCCCCAGCATGTATTTTTGCTTCCTTTGTCAAAAATTACTTGGCTGTAAACACATGGATTTATTTCTAGGTTCTGTGTTATGTTCCACTGGTCTATGTGTCTGTTTGTATACCAATACTATGCTGTTTTGTTTACAATATCTTTGTAGTATATTTTGAAGTCAGGTGGTGTGGTACTTCCAGCTTATTCTTTTTGCTTAGCATAACTTTGGGTGTTCAAGGTCTTTTGTGATTTCGTACAAATTTTGGAATAGTTTTTTAAAATTTCTGTAAAGAATGTCATTGATATTTTGATAGGAATTGCATTGAATGTGTAGAATCTCTTTTGGGTATATAATCATTTTAACAATGTTAATTTTTCTGTTCTATGAAATGGATATGTCCTTTGCAGGGGCATGGATGAAGCTGGAAACTATTATTCTCAGCAAACTGACACAAGAACAGAAAACCAAACACCACATGTTTTCACTCATAAGTTGGTGTTAAACAGTGAGAGCACAAGGACATAGGGAGGGGAACATCACATACTGGGCCCTGTTGGAGGGTGGGAGGGCTAAGAGAGGTATATCGGGGGTGGGGGATTGGAGAGGGATAACATTAGAGGAATACCTAATGTAGGTGATGGGGGGATGGATGCAGCAAACCACCATCTCATGTGTATACCTATGTAACAATCCTGCACAATCTGCACATGTACTCTGGAACTTAATGTATAACAAAAAAAAAAAAGAAAAGAAAAGAAAAGAAAAAGAAATGGGGTCTTACTATGTTGCCCAGGCTGGCCTCAAACTCTTAAGTTCAAGTGAGACTCCTGTCTTAGCCTCTCAAAATACTAGGATTATAGATGTGAGTCACTACAAGTGACCCATTATTCTAAATTCCAGTCATTCAGGAGTCTATGAGAAATTTATAACAAATGACAATTTTGGAGTTCAATAAACTGAGTAACTCACCCTGAATCACACAACTAACCCCAGATAAAAGACCCAAATTGCTCTGGTCCTCTGGACACATTGCCCAGTGATCTTGCCTCTGCATCTTTCCAAGATCTAGTTTCACTCTGTAATTTTCTTTTAAAACATGGAGGGACTGTGAACCTAGTGTACTTTCTGCTACCTTGCTGGGGAAAAATTACAAATCTACATAATTCAATAGCATACACATTATTTGTTCTCCTTTGTAGATTCCCACTTATAATACCTTAAAAATAATTTAAAGGTATTAGAAAGATACTTCTTGCTGGAGTAAAAGTGGAAATGTATGAAGAGTTTAAAATATATTTTGTTGTTGTTGAATAATCTTTACTTTGAATATTGAAGGAGTCTGATTTCAATGACAGGTACATCCTTAAAATTCAACTGAGTATTTATTTATTTATTTACTCACTTTCTTAGGTTGTCACTAAAGAAAATTGCTGATACAGTAAGAGCCCATGGTATAAGTGCCCAGCCTGAAAATGTGTGGAGTGTTTAGAAAGAATATAAAAATGATACATAAAATAATGTGAATTAAGCCAGCAGTGCATCTTTGAAAAGGAGAATGTTGATTTGGAGCATCTGATCTGTATGTTACCCCGTTTCTCTACTGATAGTAAAGATGCTCAAAGGCACCTAAAAGTCTGAACTATTAAGCAGCTATACTCCAAAATCAATGTTAGTTTTGTCTCTTACCCCTTCACAGATAGGCTTTTTTTTTTTTTTTTTTTTTTTTTAATCAATGACTCTTTGGGGCTAATTGTTTAAAAGCCTTGACTTCATTTTCAGGTTAAATACATACCTGTACCATTCTGAGAATTAAGAAAAAAGGAAAAGAAAAGAAAACCAGTCATTGAGTACTATGTTCAATTTACTAAAAATATCTAGAATAGTAAAGTATTTCCAAAGGCAAATCTTTGGTGTGACAGATGTGAAATAACATCCACAAGCTGAAGGGTCTTTCTTACAAAAGCATTCTGTAGCTGCTTCAACAAGAGTACTGAGTGTCATTTATAATTCATGCAAGTATATTGAAGCTTTCTGCTGTTGTACAAGAAAGATGGTTTTCAAAGCTACAGAGGGCAATAATCCAATATTCCTTGTAGAGAGTCCCATATATCTCATATAGATTTTACACTTGAGATCATTTCCATGCTGATGACCTCAAGAACACAATGTGATATTTTCAGAAAACACAGATTTATGCTATGTGTTATTTCTGCAAGCTTAGGGGACAGCCATTAGATCATTAAGTTAAAGGTATATTTTTAGTCAGCCTTCATCCACATTGCAGTGGTCACTGTGAAAAACTGGGCATCTAAATGCTTCAAGAACTTTAGTTTTTGTGTTCAATATATTTTGCAGTGGAAAATGGGTTTGCTGATCAAACTCTAATCCTAGAGAAGGCAAAATGACCATGGGAATAATTCGATCATTTCTTTAAAAGTATGAGACTTTTAATATGAAATCAGTTCATGTTCAAAAACAATTTAATATTTAAATCAAATTTAAATATTAAATTATTGGCAAAAAAAGTTATTTGCAGGCCAAAAGAGGTGAGCTTCATAAAGTGACACCCAGAACTCTTATTAAAACTGCAACAGAATGTTTTTGTAAGAAAGACCCTTCAACTTCTGGGTGTTATTTGACATCTGTCACACCAAAGATTTGTCTTTGGAAATACTTTAGTATTCTAAATACTTTTAGTAAATCCCAATGTAGTACGCAAAGAGTGTCTTTCATTGCCATTGTCAGAACCTGGTAATGTCACAGGTCAACCATTAACAGGTAGTTACTGCAAAGCTGTGATTAACACTAGAGTGCATTCAAAGACCACATAGTCAAAAAATAATCAAAGTCATTTTCAATAGACCAATCTGCACAATATAATCTATCATCAAAATCCAGTTGTGAGAAATTCTTCATCCACACTAATCTTTGAGTAGCACCTGCCCTTCAGTAATTCTCTTGTTTCTTTTCAGGATTTCACCAAATGGTACTAGTCTGCTGCACTGCAGTGGAATATCAAACTCCCCAATATAGTAAACAACATCTTCTCGAGGACATACAAGCCACCAGATAGAGAAACGCCCATTACAGAGCTGTGGAGTCCTTATGCTGTAGTGCTATGCTGCCACAAAGTAGACACAAAGGAGTACTCGTTGAATGATAAAAGGTATCAATGAATGAACAAATGAACTAATGAGCTGATGTATTGATTAAATGAATTTACTTCCAAACTAAAAAAGTTGCTTTAAACTTTGTTCCAAAGTTACACGGTTTTTAAAAAAATAAACATTTTCACTTTTGAATTGCTTTACATTTACATAAAGTTGCAAAGATAGGGAAGTTGCCTTTCCCTATTATTGGCTTCTGACATTAGTATGATACATTTGTCACAATTAATGAACTATTGATGATTTGTTATAATTAACTAAGTTCTATACTTTATGTAGATTTCCTCAGTTTTCACCTAATGTCCTTTCTCTGTTCCAGGATCCCATCCCAGAAATCACATTTCATATTGTTCTTCCTAAGACTCATCTTTGTGGGGATGGTTTCAGGGCCAAACTTTTAAGGACCTTGAGTGTTTTGAGTAGTACTAAACAGGTATTTATTAGGATGACCCCTACTGAACTTTGACTGATGAATTGTTCATGATTGAATTGGGATTACGGGTCTTTAGAATAAAGATCATTGATGTAAAGAGCCCTTTTTTATCACATCACATCAAGGGTACCATGCCATCAACATGACTTATTACTGATAATGTTGACATTGACCACTTGACTGAGATAGCATTTGTCAGAATTCTCCACTGTAAAGTGACTTTTCCCCACTTTCCATGCTATACTTGTTTGTAGGAAGTCACTATACATAGTCCATACTTAAAGAGAGCGCCATCTCCTTGAGGGCACTGTAACTACATTAAATACTTGAAATCTTTCTGCCTAGGAGAGTTATCTATTTTTTCCAATTTATTTATTCAATTATCTATTATTAAATAATAATTTAATAATTATTATTATTATTGTTGAGATGTCTTCTTTGACCTATATGAAAAAAAGGTGAAGCTGCAAAGAGCAATGAATGAGTCAAAGATCTGTGATACCAACAAAAATGGTGGTAATATTGTCACCTATAAATTTATATAAACTTCATTTTATATCAGTTATAGTGATAGATTAACTGATTAAATTTGGGAAATAGTATTATACCCATTATAGAAAAGGATGTGTTAGATGATTGGAGTGGATTCTTCTTAACAACCAAGCTAGGTCTAGATTCAGAGTCTCTAACATCTTAGTCTATGTATATAGCAATGAAAACATATCAAAGCAAAAAAAAAAAAAAAAAAAAAAAAAAAAAAAAACGCTAATTCTAACACTCAGAAATCAGGAGAAAGTTCAACTGAATAACACTAACAAGGAGCAGGATCTAACTGTTTAAGTAACAGCAGAATAATTAATCAAGTAGCAGCAGAATAAACAGCCTTCTAAATTTTACTTGGATCTTTATCCAAAATATAACAGATCCTGAGCTGAAAAACATACCCTCACAAAGTCAAAAGAACAGAAATTTTACTATATTTCTTCTTAGACTATAATGAAATTTAACTAAAAATTGATATCAGAAAAAAACTCCAAAATCCCCAAATAGTTTGAGATTAAATAACATACTTTTATATAACATATAGGTCAAAGAAGACATCTCAAGGGAAATTTAAAAATATTTTAAACTAAACAAAATGAAATGTACATCAAAACTTATGGGATGCTCAGGAAGAATAGCTAGTGGATGCTTGGCTTTATACTTAAGTGATGGGTTGATCTGTGCAGCAAACCACCATGGCACACATTTATCTACGTAACAAACCTGCACATCTTACACCTGTACCCTGGAACTTCAAATAAAAGATGAGAAAAAAAGAAGGATAATTCTTTTTACCCACAGTTTTCTGTCTTCTAATAGTTCTCTTATATCTTTAGATAAATGTGTCTCAAACCTTACAATATTCATAAAATCTGAGATTGCAGATGTACTTTACATTACAAATCCTATTTTTATTTTTTTAATGTATGGAATGCTGTAAAAGCAGTGTTTACAGATAAACTTGTAGCAGCAGTTGCATATATTAGAAAAGAAAAAACATCTAAAAATCAATAATAGAAACATGCCTTAGGAAAATAAAGAGAGAAGAGCAATTTAAGCTTCAAGTAAGCAGAAGAAAAGACAAAACTTTGAGCAGAAATCTACAAAGGAAGATTTCAGGAAGTCAACAGAGCAAGTCAATAAACCCAAAAGGCAATGCCTTTAAAAGATCTATAAACTTGATAAATCCATAGCCAGGCTAACCAAGTGAAAAGGGAGAAGACACAAATTACTAATATTGATTCCATGGACATTAAAAAGATAATACAAGAATATTACAAACAAATGTATACTTACACATTTAGTAATTTAGATGAAATGGATCAATTCCTTGAAAGACATAAACCATCAAAACTTATGGAAAAAATATGTTATGTAAATAGATCTATATTTATTTTAAAAATTGATAAATCATTAATAATCTTTCAAAAAAGAAAACATCTGGCCCAGATTCTTTCACTGATGAATTTCACCAAACATTTAAGGAACAAATGATATCAGTTCTCTACAATCGCTTCTAGAAAATAGATATAAGAGGTATACTTCCTAACTCATTTGATGAGTCAGGCATTATCCTAATACCAAAACCAGAGAAAGCGACTACGAGAAATGAAAACTACAGCTCAATATGTTTATGAACGTAGATGCAAAATTTTTCAATAAAATATTAGCTAAGTGAATCCAAAAATGTGTAAAAATACATCACAATAAGTGGAATTTATTTTAGGCCTGCAACACTGATCTGACATTTAAAAATCAAAATCAATTAATGTAGTACATTATATTAACTGGCTAAAGAACTATTTTATGAGTCTGTCAATTGATGCAGAAAAAACATTTGACAAAATCCAACATCTATTTATGAGAAAAAGCCTTAGAAAACTAGGAATAAAAAACATCCTCAACTAAATCTGTAATACCTAAAAAATAGGCCACCATGATATTTCATGGTGAGAAATGATACACTTTTCTTCTATGATTGGGAACAAGAAAAGATTGTTTCTTTTTGCTACTCTTACTCACCATTTTACTGGATATCCTAGCTCGTGCAATAAGGCAAGAAAAAAATATCTAGAGAGAGATTCAGAAGAAAAAAGAAAACTATCTTTGTTCACAGATGACATAATTATTTAGTAAAACTAAAAGAACTGACTCTTGGAACTAACATGTGCTTATAGCAAGGTTGCAGGATGCAACATTAATAGAAGTCAATTGTCTTGCCATGTTCCACCAGGGGACAACTGAAAATTAAAGTAGAAAACAAAATACAGTTTACATTCCTTCCTCCAGCAAAGAAAGGAAATATAAACAACAAAATATGTATGGGACATATACTATGTATACGGAAAATTTTAAGCCTGATGAAAGAAATAAAGCAAGATCTAAATAAATGGGGAGATGTATCATTTTCATGGAAAGGTAGACTCAATAATGTTGAAGTATATATTTTTCATACGTTGATGTATAGATTGAATGTAAATTTAATTCTCAGCAAGCTATTTTGCAGTTATTGACAAGTTCATTCTATTTTTTAGCTTCATCCCAAAGGATAATTTAAAAATTTATATGGAAATGCGAGAGATCCAACATAGTCTACACAATACTAGCAAGGACTAAGTTGTAGGACTGACACCACCCAATTTCAAGTAGTACTATAAAGCTACAGTAATTAAGACAGTAAGGTATTTGTAAAAGTATAGACAGATGGATTTATAGAAAAGAGGAGAGAACCCAGACATAAACCCTGCGAAATAAGGTCAATTGATTCTTGACAGAGAGTAAAAGAAATTCAATTGAGAAAAGACAATCTTTTCAACAAATAATCATCAAAAAATTGTACATATATATACAAAAAATGTCTTTTTCTTGCCTAATTACCCTGGTCAAAATTTCCAAAACTACGTTGAAAAGGAATGGTGAGAGAGGGAATCCTTGTCTTGTGCTGCTTTTCAAAGGGCATGCTTCCAGCTTTTGCCCATTCAGTATGATATTGGCTGTGGGTTTGTCATAAATAGCCCTTATTTCTAGATACGTTCCACCAATACCTAGTTTATTGAGAGTTTTTAGCATGAAGGGGTGTTTAATTTTATAGAAGGCCTTTTCTGCAACTATTGAGATAATTATATGGTTTTTGTCATTGGTTCTGTTTATGTGATGGATTACATTTATTGATTTGCATGTGTTGAACCAGCCTTGCATCCCAGGGATGAAGCTGACTTGATCGTGCCGGATAAGCTTTTTGATATTCTGCTGGATTCAGATTGCCAGTATTTTACTGAGGATTTTCCAATCAATATTCATCAGGGATATTGGCCTGAAATTTTCTTTTTTTGTTGTATATCTGCCAGGTTTTGGTATCAGGTTGATGCTGGCCTCATAAAATGAGTTAGGGAGGATTCCCTCTTTTTCTCTTGTTTGGAATAGTTTCAGAAGGAATGGTACCAGCTCTTCTTTGTACCTCTGGTAGAATTCAGCTGTGAATCCATCTAGTCCTGTACTTTTTTTGGTTGGTAGGCTGTTAATTGCCTGAGTTTCAGAACTTGTTATTGGTCTATTCAGGGATTTGACTTCTTCCTGATTCAGTCTTTGGAGTGTCCAGGAATTTATCCATTTCTTCTAGAGATGCCCTTCTTTCGGAGATGCCCTGCCTAGAGAGAAGGAATCTAGAGGGGCAGTCTGGCTACAGCCACTTTGCCAAGCCGTGGTGGGCTGTGCCCAATTCAAACTTCCTGGGGCTTTGTTTACACTGTGAGAGGAAACCACCTACTCAGGCCTCAGTAATGGTGGACCCACTTCCCCCACCAAGCTCCAGCATCCTGGTTGACTTCAGACTGCTGTGGTGGCAGCAAGAATTTCAAGTCCGTGGATCTTAGCTTGCTGGGGTAGGAGCCGCTGAGCTAGACCACTTAGCTTCTTGGTTTCAGCCCCCTTTCCAGGGGAGTGAATAGTTCTGTCTCCCTAGTGTTCCGGGCACCACTGGGATATGGAAAAAATACTGCAGCTAGCTCGGTGTCTGCCCAAATG